CCCCCCCCCGCGGGGGGGGGTCTGTGGTTTCCCCGTTGTGTGGGGGGGGGGGGGGGGGGGGGTTTCGTGAGTCTAAGTGTGTCACCGTTAATAGAGCAGAAAACAGAGGCATTAATGCATTGCCTTCTGGTTATACAATGGCGTCGCAGGAATTTTCCATACAGAGCACAGTGACTGAGGGTGCACCCCACGATATGGTGATAAAACATGCCTTGCCTTCGGACTGTCATATGTAAGAAGGGGAAAGAGCGAAGCCCCTACCCAGCAGAGCTGTATCGCAGCTGCCCTGAGGACGAGACCCCGTACAGGTCACTTGCTGGTAACTCTGGCTGGGGAGGGGTGTTTCCAGTTTTCGCCGTTTACTAATTATAGTTTTTCCTATTTTCTGCACCTTTTCTGTACTTTTCAGGTCTCTAGAAAGCTCTTGTGATCTGTTTTAGAAAATTAGAAGTGCAGCACTTATAAACAATGTCTGAAGATGCGAAAATGGGGGCGGTGTCTAGCTCAGCGGGTTACAGCTCTGGGCCTGGCACCGGAAGGTCGCCAGTTCGAATCCAATAGTCAAGAAGTCTTATTGCAGCATGGGGCCCTGAGAAATGCTCTGCTGGGCTGGAAGAACGGCTGACCCTGCACTCCGACCCCAAGCTGCACCCTCGTCTCTGCCTGTGTGTGTCTGTGTCTTTGAAAAGATGAGCAGGAGGTGATACGCAAACACTAACGCCTTCCAATGTACCTGTCGTCATGCTCCTACAAATGGCAAATAAAGGAAAGCATCATTTCAAAATACGTACTATTGCCAGCTGACGGGGAGGCTTTCGGGGGAATGTGTGTGTGTGTGTGTGTGTGTGTGTGTGTGTGTGTGTGTGTGAGAGAGAGAGTGAGAGTGTGTGGGATGTGCTATAAATGTTTTAAATAGTCATTCCCAATATTTGCTGTTAAAAAGCCCGCCCATGTTTGGATGTGGAGGTCCCAGGATGGTTTAGGGGGGGGGGGGGGCGTATAGCACACATCACTCCTCGCTATTCTGGGATACACGCTCACATGTCATCGTGCATGGAGCGCCCCCTGCCTGACACACGGCTTTCTTTCCGTGGTCTGTATGGAAATTCCATTTTGTTTTATCTTTAAACCGCCTTGTGGTTTTTGATTTATCTGCTGTAAAAGGTTTCAGTGTGGTAACAGATTTACCAGACTGTTGCCTGGAAAATTACATAAAGTTATACAACATGCTAGTTTCGTCCCGTTTTCTTGCTTTTATGTGATGTTTAATGTTTGTTTCCCCTCCAAGCTCTTGCCGTGATATGGTAAAAGCCCGTGCCATGGTCTTTGTGCATCCACGCTGTTTTGAACCCTACGGTGTGTGAGAGGGTTATTTAGGGGTAATTACAGCAGCACCAAGATCTTGGCCATTTAAAACCACTATGTGTGAAGCAATCGATAAAATTAGAAAGTTGTAAAGGTTTGATTCCAGACTGTGGTGTGTGACTGTACCTCTGTGTGCTCTCCGTTAGGGCGTGCTCTGTCCTGACCCTGCTGTACCCGCTCT